ACATCACCTTTTAAAACGGTGGAAATATAAAAATATAAAAATCGAACAATTTGTGAAGTTTAAATATTTAAATATTATTGTCAATCATTAAATATGCAGGTAAAATTGTCGGCTCTTTTTAGAGCTCCAGTAAGTATCTGGCCCTTCATGCTATCTTCTAACTTTACAAGAGCCAGATCAGGCCAAAAATGAAGAATTCTTGGCATATTTGGGCGGAAGATGCCCAGTCTTCATTTTTCAGTTTTGATAGAGTCCAAAAGCGTCTCAGAGTCCTTGTGGGTGACGAATTATTTTCCACCTTCATAGACGGGATGTGGCAAGACTATCACTTCTCTATCGTTACTTCCATGCAAAGTGCACGGACGAACTACATTCCTTGGTTCTGCCAATTCTAACCTTCACGTCTAGGACCCATGCAACTTACATTGTAGCAAACCACTTACATTCCTTCCGTATTCCATTGGTGAAAAGGACGTTCAACTCGAACAGCTTTTTCCCACAAACAGCTGCTCTGTGGAACTGATTTCTTATAGGATTTCCACGGTCATTACAATTTTAATTTGTTCAAGTCTATGGTCAACCGTTATCTTCCACTCCTATCTATATAAACTGACTCTTAATGCAACCCTCTACCTCGAGTGGCTCCTGGCCTTTGTACAGAGTGAACATTACTGTAAAGAAATACACGTGTGGGTTAAAGTTTTTCGTTTCGGCCATAAAGAGATAAACATTTTCTGATGATCAGATTTTGGAAAATGCTTCAAGCCTATAATTATATCCTCAGTCACGCCCTTTCTGGGACTATGTCGGCGAATTGACGGCTCGTATCAATCCCAAGTATCTCGTGTCCATTGATCGTGCATACGTGTGTGATAATGTCTCCCCCGTTCTCTGGGGTGAAACGAATGGTGTTTCTGATGTTTCTAGTCGTGACAAGAATGGTGATATTGTCGTTGCGAATGGAGGTAATCATGAGATATGAACTCTATTCTCATGAGATTTTGACCGGATTCTTTCAAGATCTGCTCAAGATGAAGACCAGAACTGACAGAAAGCGTTTGTTATTGACAGATTTCAGCAAAAGGTGGATAATAGTGGCAAGCTAGGTGTGAGTGAATGGGGCCAGCCTTGATTTTCTTTTTTAAGTTCCCCTTTTTTAAGCAACCGGTCAGTTTTCTGTGTACCCTCCCCTGGTTAAGTTAGACAATCTTTGTTTACGTAGTTAATGTAAGTAAATGTTCCTGGTTTGGCTCTCTCTTTTGTTACGATTCATATTCCAGATTCTCAATCTCCCCAGTTTGTATTTTGACCTCTGGATCAGCCTTTAATTTTTCCCTTACCGTCATTTATTTTTATACCCTCCTTCTATGTTAGTGAATGTGTTTCTTGATTCTGTCCAAAAGCAGAATACAGCCGCCACTCTTATTATTTTTGTCGAGTGGTTGGGTTCTACTAACATGTTATGTTTAGTTTAAATGCTTTCTTATACTTTAGTTTCGTTTTCTGGGTTCATCACTCCACTCATTTTATGAACACTTTTATATATTTTACAGAAAAAAGAGATATTTGAATTATTTGTACATATTATGTCATGATTTTTTGTAGATTCCTTGTGAATTTGTGGTATTGTGGTATATGTAGTATTGAATGATGACGGATGAGTTTTTGTGGTGATTGAGCAAACTGTAAAGAAAGTATGGGTCTTGAATCTGATCAGGTCTTGGATAGAAACTGTTGACCAGCCTTACCTCATTTCCCCTTTGGCCTTGTGCCGCATTGTTTCAATGGAAGTAGTAAATAAATATGTTGAAACATGAGTAAAGTGAAGGATCTCACAGCTGCTGAAAAAACAGAAAATAACAAAGTTATTGAGTGAGGGAATGTCTACATCGAAGATAACAAAGGGGATTTCAAGAGATCAGCAAACGATAAAGAATTCTGTTGAAAATATAAGTTGAGAACTCGAAGCAAAGGAAAAGGCTTTAAGAACTTGCTTCCTCGAGATAAACGTAAACTAAAGCGAGTTATAGTAAAACAACCACGTTTGACCAGAGCTCAAATCTTTGAAAAGGCTGGAATTGAGGGAGTCATGAATGACAAAAGGTGTAGAATACTTTGTGAATTGAGATCTATAAAAAAATCTCCTAAGCTGCCTCCTCTCACTAAAGCAAATATTTTAAAGCGTCAAAATTAGGCCAAGAAATTCATAAAAAATGACTTTTCTAAACTATTTTTGCGGACGAATCTCGACTGACATTTGATGAACCTGATGGATGGTCCAAAGGATGTATTTTATCCAATTCAGACGTGCATGCGTCTAAAAGAAGGCAACAGGGAGATGGTAGTGTTATAATATGAGTTGTAATTGTCAATGAAACCATTATTGGACCATTCAAAGTCGATGAAGCAATTAAACAAAACAATTCTAACGACTGCAATTTTATGAAGAATACATTCTTTGCATGATACAAGTCCCAGTTTCACAGATTCAAAGTGAAGTGTGTATTTATGAATGGTAATGCCCCTCATGTACCTAAGCTTAACCGTGAATTCTTTGAGAATAAAAGATTTACAGGAGAGAAGATAATGGAATGGCCACTATCAAAGTCCTGATCTGAATCCAATCAAAAATCTATAGTCAGTTTTAAAGATGAAATTATTTGAAGGTGGCAAACAATATAAAAGCAAAGCAGACCTATGGAAAGCATTTAAAACTATTATGTCGGAAATTGAACATGCTGAAGTAAAACAAAAATAACAAAAACAATGGATAATAGATTACTGGCTGTTATTGAGAAGAATGGTCACTATATTAATTGATCAGTTCATTTCGGTTGATGGATTCTTCAAAGAAGTTTCTCTTTGAAATCATTTACACATTTTGAATGAACAATTTGGGCGTTTTCTCTGTTATGATATTTTTATCATAATTGTGATTAAATGATGGTGAAATGACCAGTCTGCATTCATACATAAATAATTCGCTATTGTTTTATGAATTTTATTGCTGCTGCTGATGTTAGCATCGTTAAAGCAGCGATTGAAAAATTACATAATTATTAGAACAAAGTACAACTACTTTTCGATTTGGCCACCTACATTATATACTTATATTATATACTTACATTTTTTATTCTCCAAATTTTCTGCATATCATAATTTCTGTTTACACTCAGTAGTAGCAGTAGATATAGTAGATTTAAAATGTCTCTGCATTAAATGAAGGTTTTTTTTATTACTATTTATTTTAGAGGTTTTTCCTCTTTGTTCGTGATTTTGATACTATATTTGAATATTTCTAAAGATGAATAAAGAGTTGATAAAAGAATTTGAAAAAGCCCCATGATTTTCCTTGTCTCTTTTTTTCCTTAATTTTCCACGAGTGGCATTTACTGTATGTCGCCCCTGTGTTAAGGTGTATTTGTGTTTCGTTAATGACAAACAAAACTGGATTCTTTTCATCACTGCATTTCCAACTGAAGAGATTTGCAGTGATCAAGAATAGTGTGTCATATAGTCTGCAAATCAACAAAAGCGCACAAATTTCAATTGAAAAGAATAACAGTTTCAAACAAGCAACAAACAAGTAGTTTTTTTTTTAATTAAAAAGATCAAAGGCACCTAATTGAACATGGAATAGCGCCAATAAAGTCTATTTTCGTTGCAACGAATTTCTTATCTGTTAAAATATATCAGACGGAACAACCTTTTTGTTGCTACTGTCTCGCAATGAGGGAAATTTGAGTGCAAACTCTAAGAGATCAACATACTTTATTCTCAGTCAACTGTTGTGACAATATATTTTATCCTGATATTTAGTGATGAGTTAGAGTGTAGCGGAGACTGAATTGACGCCTCCTCAAAGAGTAATAATTCCAGTGCACATATGCAATCTCAAACGAGGTTCATGCTCAGTTTCCTATTTGCATTTCTGGGGTAAATGTTGCATTACATTTGGCACGACAGAACTCATATATATATATATATATATATATATATATATATATATATATATATATATATATATATATAAAAACGTAGAAAAGCATTCTTCTTTAAGGATCCTTTTCAACCAAAACTTCGTCAGAAAAATACGTTGATGAATATTGAATTAACAGAATAACAGTCCTAAAGAGTTTGATGAGTTCAATACTTGGTTAAGGTGGTGGAGAACTTGGAGAGGGGAATTAACAGGAGATAACTGATAACTGACATTCATTAGACATGGCACGTGTAACTAGAACAGTCTACCCCAGCGAGGTAGTTCAGTTCGACATTCCAACCACCTGAAGAAGGCCGCAGCATACAAATAAATATGGCGACAAAGATGAGGACAATAGTCCGAATAATGTAAAGTATTTATTTTATTAGGTTAAATCATTTTTTTCATAATTTTTTTGCCAATTTTATTTTTTAAAATATAAAATACAATTACCATTTGTTCAATTATATATCCATCTTAATTTGCAATTACATATTGTCACTTCTCAGGCAGCTCATCCTTGAATAAAATTTCGCAGGTTTTCATGCGACAAAGTTTTCGATGGCCTCTTCATTTTCTTAATCAAACTGTATTGATCGAAAAAGCTAACAATCCGTTGGTGCAACGTCAGGTGAATATGGCGGATGGTATCGAACGTGGTAACTAATTTCCAAGATGTTTTTCTTTGTTATTCTTGCTGTATGCGACCATGCATTCTCATCAGGGAGAACAGTATTACTTTATTTACTGTGTACATTGCCAATGTCATGTAATTACGGTATGGTGATTTTCGAAGCGTAGCTTAGATGTGGTACAAGACTTAAATTATGGGGCACCCAGTAAGGATCGACTCACATTTCAGTCGTTATTGATCTTGTGAAACAAGCTTACTAACCATGATACCACGTCGAAGTGCCCAAATGACTTTCTAAGTGTAAGTTAGATGTGGCACAAGGCCGAAATCATGGAGAACCCAGTAAGGATCGAACTCACTACTCAGTCGGAATTGATCTTGCTAAGGTACTGACCAGGCTCGCTGTTGCTTAACTTCGGTGATCACACGGGAACCGGTGTTTCAACAGTGATGTGGCCGCAAATCCCATACTATCTTTAAGAACCATTGTTATCCTTTCAGGAACTAAAAATACTCGTTCAGTGAGTCCACAGCTATTACTGTCTAATGAATACATTTTACAAAGTGACTATGCAAGTAAACCGGGGAACAACACTTTGATGTGAGGCAAGTTGAACAAATACTCTGATCCGAGGTAAAACTGCCAATCCACACGTCAATAATCTAATCATTTGTCTACGAGGATTGTGTTAGTCAAGTATAGCATTTCATTCAGTGCTCGGCTTAAAAACTAATTTCGTTGTATTAATGAAATAAGATCAGACAATGTTTAATATTACTTTTTTTTTATTATTGTTTCGTTGTGTGTATCTGTTACTTGAAAAAAGGAAACCAGATATTGCTCGAGTCCAATGTCCACAGAATAAACAGTTTCGCTGACTGAACGATCTTCTCTTTCTTCTGATTTGTCATAAATATTCTATATTATTATACTTTAACAATGATTATCTATACGTGGGATAATGGCCATCGATCCCCACTGAGTGCCCTACCTATTTATTCTAATGTTAATTAATGGTTCATTTATATAGTGAATTCATTTCTGCTAGACTACTACAAATTTGTATTTTTGTTTTTGAATAAAATTTATTTGCTAAAAGGAAAATAAATATTTTAATGGAATGGTAAAATCTATCAAAATACGGAAAACATCCTATGTTCCTATGATCGGTTATCTCAGCCATTGCCAAACACATCAGGTGCATCTCAGACCTTACAACATCAAGCGTAATACTAGGGAAGCCATGATCTAATAATAGATGTCGGGTAGATATGATTCAAAAACTTAGCTCGGTCTCAATAAAAACACAAATCGCGTAATGACGTTAACATAACTTTTAGAAGTGTCATTATTTTGCCACATGCTCTACACTAAGACAACTGAAAGCTCTACAGTCCAATCATTATGATTTCAGAGCTTTTTTTTATTTTGTTTTAATACGGCCCCACTACAGATCGTGACTCCCCATAGACATTATCGTTCATTATTTAAGAAATTCCGTTATTTATGGGGGAAAATAGGGGCGTGGTTTTTTAACTGTCTTCTGTACAGTTTTGAATTTGAAGCAGGCCGAAGTGTCCAATCTGCCTACTATTTGACATATATCTCGGGAGAGAAGCGATGGATTCATCCCTTTCCAAATGTTATTAGTTCGAAAGTGAACGCAACGGACTAGACCGGGATTTGAACTCGGCTCGTCGGTTCCATTTTCTGTAACGATAAGACTAACGAGCTACATTCCTTTTTTTCCACCAGTTCTAAACTTCCCGATTAAGACCCGCCATGCCACGCACCACACTTATTCCTTTCGTATTCCATCTGTGAGATGTAAGTTCCATTCAAGCAGCTTCTTCCTACAAACTGATGTGGAACCGACTCCCAAAAGGATGCTTCCCGATCATTACTATCTTAACCTCTTCAAGTCTAGGGTAAACGGTTATCTTCCCCACATATCTGTATAAATATTTATATTGTTCGGACTGTTGTTATGTTCACGACATTTCAGCCGTTGTATGCTCCTTCCTTCGTTAGGTGATTGGAATTTCGAACTGAACCCTTTATTTCGTCCATCAGGGTAGATTGTTCTAGTTCCGGGTGTCTCAGTTATATCCCTTTAACTAAACTCTCCATGCCAGGACTCATAACTCTTTGGGTTCTAACCAACGCTTTTATCCACTGGGCCATGTGTCCCTGAGGTCACCAGTTTACGAATTTTTGGGACTTATAAAGCTAATGTCTCAGTAGTTATTTTTTACAAGAGCTCATATTCCAATTTTTGTTATTACTATTGCTTTTCTCTAGCACTCCGTATTACTCCATATTGTATTCATTTCTATACTTGGCATATGTGCTGATTCTTTAAATTTTCGTATTTTCCAGTGATGTTCTCTGTCTATTATTTCAACATTATCCCACAGGGTGCGGTGATCTCCCTTTTACCTCCATATGTTGTCAGCTATGCCTGATTTTCTATTTCCCTCGTGTCACGTCTTTACGGGGTTCTAGCCGTATTACCTTAAGGGGTGGCCTGTTTCTCCTTTTTATTTCTTACCACAGCTGCACGGAATCGCGTACTCATAGTCCTTAGTCATGTTCTCCTCTATGGGAGTCTTACTAGGAAGAGGTGTTGCGAAGTGCCGAGCCACTTTTGAACAGTTTGAAATTCCAATCATCTGAAGTAGGCACACAACGACCGAAACGTCGTGAACATGACAATAAAGATCGTAGCATGGCGGGTCTTGGCTGTGAAGTTCTGAAATGGTGGAACTCAGGAATGTAGCTCGTCTGAATGTTTGCCATGGTTAGCAACGTTTCGTCTGTGGGAAGTGGGTTGCAGGGTGAAAAATAATCGATCACCCACAAGGCGACGGACTTGCTTTTGAAATCTCTCAAGGCTGGACAAATAGGAACTGGGCAGCTCCAGCCCAGATATTTCAGTAATACTCCATTTTAGGTCCGATCTGTCTTTTGAAAAGAACATGGCTTGTAAAGTTACGTACAAAGAACCAACCATTTTTTCAGTATGTTTCACGATGTTACGAGTTCCACGTGATGTGTAGAATGAGCTTTAGTCCTAATAAAGGCAAGGGGTCTACTTGAGCAAACAACAGTTAATTGATTTGATTTTTACCGTTTATCAACTCTTTGGGGGTTATTTCAGGCTGAAACATATTTTGATCTTTAATAATATTTTTTTTTTTGCTAGTGAGTATTATATCTGTAATATTATCGGTACTGACCTGACATCTAGACGTCAATCATTTTCCACTGCAAGTAACATAGCTTCCCAGTACATTTTCCATATATGATTTTTAATTGTCCTGATGAGCTTTCCTTCTTTGTACCTTGATTTCATGAATTTAATCGCAGTACTAGTTCTGAAGTTGTCTGATCATTTAATTGTTTTAATTGCTAAATATAACTTTAAGTTCTATTCTATTTCTTCTCTTGTACTTCTTGTTTGTAAACTCTCTTCCATCTTCTTACTTTCCTGTCAATTCCAATCTACAAAAATGACATGCAACATCAAACGCTGTCTTCTGTCTCCATGAATCCTATTCTTTTTACTGTCCTTTCTCCTCAGTAACATTTACTCAGTTCCCTTCACTCTCAGTAACCCTTTGTGTCTTAGTGGCTTTATTGCCTTGCTTGGAGTGAAATGAGTGAAATGAGTGAAAATCGTTTATATATCTTCCATGTTAACAAGTAAAAATAAGAAAAAATAAAATTATAGAATCATGCAGTAAAATATCGTTAGAAGCAAACAACAGTGCTGAACTGAACTAATATATATATCCTCCTATATGGCAGTGAATACTGGACAATTTCCTCAAAGATAAAGGAGAGATATGATGCAAGAGAGAAATGGTTCTATAGAAGGATGCTTAGAATACAATAAACGGAAACGATGAATTTTCAAGGAAAATGAAACTTATGCTCAGAATCAATAAAATGCAATTGGAAATTCTTCGAAACTTAATTTGACACTCACAGAATATAGTGAAAGGGCGGATAGAAGCCAAGTACCCTGTATAACAGGATTGTGTAAATGGATGGCAGAACATGAGCTGGGAGCGATAGTAAAGGAACAAACAATTCTTAATACTACGAATGATAGGAAGTTGTGAAGAATCATGATTGTCCATATCCTGAACGCACAGGGCACATAGAATAGCAAGACGATTGAGAACAAATATAAGATAAAAATGTTCAACAATAAATATTAGCATATTTTTGAAAACATTTTACACACGATCAACTTTCTAGTCATTTTTCCTGTTGCGTTTGCAATTGTGACCTTGAACAATTTCTTAGAATTGTGACATTGGTTCCCTTGTCGGCGACCCGCAGAGGTAAATGTCCTGTGGATTATAATAACGGGAGATGGAAGGATACATATTCTGAGTGCGAAGATTACGAACATTCTCATTTGGACCATGTCTAAAGGGAGAGAGAGAAGCGACCTGTTGGAAAAAGTAGAGTCTACACCTTCAGTCACAGTGTCTAGTATCTCGATGTAGACAGTGACTTTGAGTCTGAGGCATTGTGGAATGAAGTGTCATAGAATGTCATTTCAACCTTATGACCTCCAATCGTAGCAGACGACGTGATTTTAGTGCGCACCACTTACGCACAAATACCCTTGGGAAAGGTCTGAATCCATCTCTTCTCCTCCTCGCTATGGGTTGAATAGCAGCACAGACTTGGTTCTTTAGCTTCGGTTAGCAAACAGTCTACCACTGAAAAAATGGTAACCTACTCCGGGAAAAAATCTGCCTCGTCAGTCATGTATCGTAAGATACAAGATCGCCTAAGGGTGTATCACGTATGATACTTAACTAACTGCACATGATAACAGTAACGATGAGAAATTAGAACCAAGTAAGTTTAATTTTTCTCTTTGGTGTGTGTAAAAAAAAGAAAAAGAAAGAAAGAAGAGGAAAACAGATGTTCTACAAATATGGTAGAATTATTAGCTCAAATGGTAAAAATAGAACAACAGCAACAGCAAATGTTGGAACTCCGGAAACAAGAACAAAATTTAATTGAAATAATACGAAAGAAAACGGAAAATTCCATCATTTCTCTCATTAGCAATCGGTGGCAAATATCATATCTAAATTCACATACAATTCAAATGATGTAATTATCTTTTCTGCTTATTTTAGAATATATGAGTAAATTTTCAGAGAAGAATGTAGTGACTGGGAACAGGAGAAAAAAAACAAGACTTTTGTTGAGAAAGTTAGCAGTGGTAGAGCATGAAAAATACTGTAATTTTGTGCTACCGAAAAATCAGGAGAAATTTGCTTTGAAGAAACAGTAAATATTCTGATTTAAATTTTTAGCGAGAAAAATTCATTATTCAATACTCGTTGGAGGTGTATGAATCTGACGCAAAGAGAAAACAAAGATTTTGTTACATATGCTGGAATTATTAACAAGAAGTGTGAAAGATTCA